TGCTGTGGCTACTACTGTGGCTACTGCTGTGGCTACTACTGTGGCTACTACTGCTGTGGCTACTGCTGTGGCTACTGCTGTGGCTACTACTGTGGCTACTACTGTGGCTACTGCTGTGGCTACTACTGTGGCTACTACTGCTGTGGCTACTGCTGTGGCTACTGCTGTGGCTACTCCTGTGGCTACTGCTGTGGCTACTACTGTGGCTACTACTGCTGTGGCTACTGCTGTGGCTACTGCTGTGGCTACTACTGTGGCTACTACTGTGGCTACTGCTGTGGCTACTACTGTGGCTACTGCTGTGGCTACTACTGCTGTGGCTACTGCTGTGGCTACTACTGTGGCTACTGCTGTGGCTACTACTGTGGCTACTACTGCTGTGGCTACTGCTGTGGCTACTGCTGTGGCTACTACTGTGGCTACTACTGCTGTGGCTACTGCTGTGGCTACTACTGTGGCTACTACTGTGGCTACTGCTGTGGCTACTACTGTGGCTTCTGCTGTGGCTACTACTGCTGTGGCTACTGCTGTGGCTACTACTGTGGCTACTGCTGGTGCTACTACTGTGGCTACTGCTGTGGCTACTGCTGTGGCTACTGCTGTGGCTACTGCTGTGGCTACTACTGTGGCTACTACTGTGGCTACTGCTGTGGCTACTACTGTGGCTACTGCTGTGGCTACTACTGCTGTGGCTACTGCTGTGGCTACTACTGTGGCTACTGCTGTGGCTACTACTGTGGCTACTACTGCTGTGGCTACTGCTGTGGCTACTGCTGTGGCTACTACTGTGGCTACTACTGCTGTGGCTACTGCTGTGGCTACTACTGTGGCTACTACTGTGGCTACTGCTGTGGCTACTACTGTGGCTACTGCTGTGGCTACTACTGCTGTGGCTACTGCTGTGGCTACTACTGTGGCTACTGCTGGTGCTACTACTGTGGCTACTGCTGTGGCTACTGCTGTGGCTACTGCTGTGGCTACTACTGTGGCTACTGCTGTGGCTACTGCTGTGGCTACTGCTGTGGCTACTACTGTGGCTACTGCTGTGGCTACTGCTGTGGCTACTACTGTGGCTACTGCTGTGGCTACTGCTGTGGCTACTGCTGTGGCTACTGCTGTGGCTACTGCTGTGGCTACTGCTGTGGCTACTGCTGTGGCTACTACTGTGGCTACTGCTGTGGCTACTGCTGTGGCTACTACTGCTGTGGCTACTGCTGTGGCTACTGCTGTGGCTACTACTGTGGCTACTGCTGTGGCTACTGCTGTGGCTACTGCTGTGGCTACTGCTGTGGCTACTGCTGTGGCTACTACTGTGGCTACTGCTGTGGCTACTGCTGTGGCTACTGCTGTGGCTACTGCTGTGGCTACTGCTGTGGCTACTGCTGTGGCTACTCCTGTGGCTACTGCTGTGGCTACTGCTGTGGCTACTGCTGTGGCTACTACTGTGGCTACTACTGTGGCTACTGCTGTGGCTACTGCTGTGGCTACTCCTGTGGCTACTACTGTGGCTACTGCTGTGGCTACTGCTGTGGCTACTGCTGTGGCTACTGCTGTGGCTACTACTGTGGCTACTGCTGTGGCTACTACTGTGGCTACTACTGTGGCTACTGCTGTTACTACTGCTGTTACTACTGCTGTGGCTACTACTGTGGCTACTGCTGTGGCTACTGCTGTGGCTACTACTGTGGCTACTGCTGTGGCTACTACTGCTGTGGCTACTGCTGTGGCTACTGCTGTGGCTACTGCTGTGGCTACTACTGCTGTGGCTACTGCTGTGGCTACTACTGTGGCTACTGCTGTGGCTACTGCTGTGGCTACTACTGTGGCTACTGCTGTGGCTACTGCTGTGGCTACTGCTGTGGCTACTACTGTGGCTACTGCTGTGGCTACTGCTGTGGCTACTGCTGTGGCTACTACTGTGGCTACTGCTGTGGCTACTGCTGTGGCTACTACTGTGGCTACTGCTGTGGCTACTGCTGTGGCTACTACTGTGGCTACTGCTGTGGCTACTGCTGTGGCTACTGCTGTGGCTACTACTGTGGCTACTGCTGTGGCTACTGCTGTGGCTACTGCTGTGGCTACTGCTGTGGCTACTGCTGTAGCTACTGCTGTGGCTACTGCTGTGGCTACTACTGTGGCTACTGCTGGTGCTACTACTGTTGCTACTGCTGTGGCTACTGCTGTGGCTACTGCTGTGGCTACTACTGTGGCTACTGCTGTGGCTACTGCTGTGGCTACTGCTGTGGCTACTGCTGTGGCTACTGCTGTGGCTACTACTGTGGCTACTGCTGTGGCTACTGCTGTGGCTACTGCAGTGGCTACTGCTGTGGCTACTGCTGTGGCTACTGCTGTGGCTACTACTGTGGCTACTGCTGTTACTACTGCTGTGGCTACTGCTGTGGCTACTACTGTGGCTACTGCTGTGGCTACTGCTGTGGCTACTACTGTGGCTACTGCTGTGGCTACTGCTGTGGCTACTACTGTGGCTACTGCTGTGGCT